CCAGCACCGCGGGGCTCAGCCCCCACTCGGGCGCCGCAAAGCCGGCGTGCAGCAGCAGCCGGGGGCCCCGCGCCGTCGCCTCCCTGCAGGCCCCGCGGGGCGCGGGCGGCTCGGGCGGGCGCAGCGGCCGCAGGAAGGAGACGTCGGGGCTGCTGCGGCCCGGCGAGGGGGCGTGGGACACGCTGGACACGTCTGAGCCGCTGTCTTCCGAGCAGGAGTGGTAGGCGGGCCGTGGCAGCGGCGGCCGCGCGGCCGGGAAACAGGAGTCGGGCACGGTCACCGTGTAGTGGGTGGGGCGGCGGCGGGGGAAGGCGCTGCGACCTCGGCCCTCGGGACCCAGGCGCGAGAGGTCCACCCTGCGGGGAGGGAGACGCGCTGAGTGTGGGAGGCCCAGACGCCGCGGGGAAAGGAGGTGAGCGGAGGGGCTGGGGTCGCGCACCTCTCCTAAGAAACAGGAGGCCTGCGGCCGCCCCCGCCATTCAACACATTGCCCCGCACATACGCATCCTCCTGCTCCCATTCACACGTTGGGTTTGTATGAAGTATGCTACATCCATGTCGCTATTTTCAGCCATGTTAGGTACCCTGTGTTCAGAGGCATTACATGCACAGAATCGGCTCGGACAGGCATTGTCCCATATCAAAGCTGCATGCGTCAAGGCAGGACCACCGGGAAGGGAGAAGACCCCCACCTACAAGCCAAGGAGCGAGGCCTCGGGAGAAACCAGCCCTGCCCACAACTGGATCTTGGACTTCCAGCTGCCAGACTGTGAGGCAATCATTTCTGTCATTTAAGCCACCCAGTCTGTGGCATTTTGTGAAGCAGCCCTGTCAGCTAACACACGGTGGCTGCATGCAGGTTGGCCCTCCACAGGGGTGCCAGCACAGGGCCAGCAGGGCTGAAATCCAGCCCCCACTCTGTTAATCATGGGGTGGGGCCTGCCCAGAAGCAGCACCTTTCACTGATATGCACAAAGGTGCTGTTTGTAAAATGGCCCTGGCAATATGAAAAATATAAAATTGAGAGTGGTTGTCCCGAGCTGCACCCAGTCCAGAGCTGCCTGCCGGACAGGCACATTCAAACTGACACATTAAACTGACAGGAGAACCCAGGGGTGCCTTGATGGTGCCCAGGGCTTTTGTGTGGTGTAGCTAACCGCCTGTCCTAACTTGGTCCCTTAAAGTATTACCAAGTAGCAGGGACTTGGAAAGTAACATATAATTCTCATTATTTGCAGATTCTGTATGTGCAAAATGTACCACAGCTAAAACTTGTTTCTAACTTCAAAATCAGTACTCACAGACTTCTGTGGTTATGTGCAGACATGTGCAGAATGGTGAGAATTCTTAGTTGCCAGGAGGCATGTGCCCAGCTGAGACTGAAAGAGGCCAGGCTCTGTCTTCCTGTTCCAGGTCTTATTATAAGCAAGCATCCTTTCCAGTCTATTTAATGTTGCACTTTTCATATTGTTGTGCTTTCTGTTTGTGACCGCACTGCTTAGAAGGGCCCCAAAGCATAGGGCTGTAGGGTGGCCTGGAGTCCTAAGCACCAAAGGCTGTGAGAGTGCCTTATGGAGAAAATAGTATTAGATGAGCTTCACTGGGGCATGAGTTGTATGAGAGCTACTGGCCATGAGTTCAAGGTTGAGGAAACAGTGATATATATTAAATAAGGTGTCTTTAAACCAAAACTCAGTAAGGCTGTGCTTTGATCAGCTGACAAAAATGTTGGGATCAGAAGCTCTCAGGAGCCTAGCCCTGTATTTCTTCTAGGAGCGATGGCTCAGTATTCTCTAATTCAGTGTTTGTGGTGACCTTACTGGACAGAAAACTACCGCAAATCATGAGAATCACTGCACATCTTTTGAAAAAGTGACCTGTCCATTGTCAGTGATCAGCAGTGAAAGTATCACAATCACAGAAGCGTCTATAAAGATACACACTCTCTCGCCGTGAGATACGGCAAGCAAGGAAATTTGAACCAGGTTGTGCAAAGGTGAAGCTGGAGTCTCTGGAAGAAAACAACGTGCTTCCCAAATGACCTGCCTCTGGCTTGGTTGGTCGTGGTGCGGCCTCTAATAAGATTACCCCAAGGAGGGATCCTGAGAAGCCCTGGCACTAGACATGTGTCACTACTGGTGTCCCACCTATGCCCTAAAAGCCACTACTCTCCTCTCCATGGCGGGTTCCCCTCCCCCTGCATCCCTGGGGCCTCTTACCTCAGAGACTGCGACTGCCCCCTCCTCCCCTGCATCTCAGGGGTGGCTGGGGCACTGGTGCGGCCCTGCCACTGGCCAGGAACACCGCGGATGGGAACCACGTGGTAGGAGGCAGGCTCCAGCAGCCACAGGCTGGAGGCACTGGGCCCCTCCTGTGGTGTGGTGGCCGGGCTGCTGCAGAAGGATCAGAGACTAGTGAGTGGCAGGAATGCCTCCATTCAGGGGCTCAGGTGGGGCAGAGGAGGGGGGCGCAGCGGAAAGGGGCCCCCACCTCCCACCATCACAGAGCTCAGGAGAGGGGCAGTCTTCCAGGCCTTGCCATGCCCATGCCCATGCCCCCCACCCCCAGCGCAGCTCCCACCTGCTCCCGGCCCTCCTCCTCCCCACCCTGACCTGGACTCGCTATTGGGTTCAGAAGACTTCCTGGGCTTCTCGTAGGGCTGGTCCAGGCTGGTCTCCTTCCAGGGGCTGTTCTGGATGGGGGCCCGCTCCAGGCCCCCCGCCTCAGGTCCTGCTGGCTGCAGCCCCTCAAGGCTCTGGGGCGGGAGAGGCCGAGGAGGCGGAGCTGGGCCCTCTGGGGGAGGCTTTGCTGCCTGGGACTCCTCTGCAGGGGTAAAGAAACCCGGCTGAGGGCGGCGGCCAGGGAGCGGGTCCCACAGAAACCCATGGCCTATGCCTGCCTGTGGCTGCTGGTCCGGCTACTCCAGACCGTGGCTCCAGTCCCAGATGCTCAAAAATATTTTCTTTTCCTTTGGGACTTAGGTCTTCCCTCACAGCTCTATATTTTATACCTGTCTCCTTCAAGGACCCTCCCCCACCGCCACCCACCAGACTGACTCCCCTTGGTTCTCATTAATCCACCTTCTAACCAACCTTTGCTCCAGGCGCCATGTCTGCAGCTGACCTGTTTGCCTTCTGTTCTTCATGTGGTGCCCATGTGCACTGTGTCTACTGGCCTGGGGGCTCCCTGGGTGGGACTGTGCCGCCCTCCTGGTCCGCTTGACCCTTACAACCCTTAGTGTTTGAAAACTGGGTTCTCAACCTATGGCTTATCTATGGCCAATCTATGAACCTCCCCCAGTCTGCCGTCTTGTCAAAGGGGAATGACTGTGGCCAGAGGGCTCTTAGGCTCTGACAGGTGCATCCTGGAATCAAGCCCAGGGCTAAGGCAGGGATGCCTGGGGCCCATGCTTTCTGCTGGAATTCACTTTTCCCTTTTCTGTAAAACGAGGGAGCTTCCAGAATGGGAAAGGGTCAGTGTTTCTCCACCGTCAGCTGAGAAGTGCAGGAGGCACGTAGATATCAGAATCAGGTAGGAGTGGAGACTCCGCCAGCCTGGCACGCCCGCCTTCACTAGCTCACTGAAGGCCCGCTCCCATTTGAACCATCGGTAACCTCCGCCAGAGCCCCAGAGTCTTGCTGTGGGAGCCCAGCCCTGACAACCGTCCCCAAGCCACCCTCTCACCTTCCTCCAGGAGCAGGCCATCCGACAGGGAGCTGTCATCCGAGGCACTGAGCTCTGGGAAGGCCAAAGGGGACAGCAGGAGAGGATGTCACCCTCAGAGCCGGAAGCCAGCAGTGCCAGCAGCCCAGGCCTGCCCCGCCCCTTACTGATGGCATCCCTTATCAGGAAATGCCAACTGCATGCTAAGTACTATCCTGGCTGTGAATTTACTACCTCCAAGTAGAAAAAAATTCATTAAGTTAAGAGTAAGGAGACAGGAGACCTGATGTTAGGAATGACAGTTTGAATAGTCTGTTCCAATGCTGGGGGCCTCAGTTTCCCCATCTGTCAAAAAAAGCCAGGGCTTCCTCTGGCAGGGTTTCCTGGCAGTGGAAGGACGGGCAAAGAGTCATGGTGGAAAGGCCTTGGGAGGAAAAGAACTCTGATAATTTCTATAGTCTTCTGATACCCCAAGTGCAGCTGCACCCAAAGGATTCCAAATCGGGTTAGTCCGACATTACGTTACCAGCACCAAGAGCAGTGCTGTACAGGGCACTGAGCTGCGGGGTCGTGGGGCCAAAGCAACTGAGGGTCTGGCCGGCTGGATAAGGAAGGTTCCTCAGTGGGTGATACGGGAAGCCACCCACAGGAAGGGGTGTGGCGTTGCTGCCTGGGACAGCACTTTCTCTCACCCAGGAAGCCAGAGGAACTTCTATTCGCATCGTCCTCGGACAAACCGAGACCTTCCGATTTTGAGGATATGCCTAAGTGACCAGGATGGAACTCACAAAGCATTTTCAACTGTCAAAGATGAGGGAAAATTAATATTAGCTGATATTTCTATTGTGCCAGCGCTTTTCTAAGCACTTAACATATGCTAATTCATGTGCTCCTCAGAACAACCCTGTAAGGTGAATACTGTTACCACGTCCATGGACCAGCTGAGGAAACTAAGGCTTCGGGGAGCTGACAACATGGCTTAGGTAGATCTTCTGAGAGGCGGCTGGGTCAGAGTTCACCCCCAGACAGGCTGACCAGAGTCTGGCCTTTCACTACCACCATTTATCAGCTCTCCTATTAGCTGGCATCTAATGCACAGGGCAGGACCCAGAAGCTTCTAAGTAAACAATTCTAGCCATTTTAAAATCCTTTATAACAGGGATTGGCAAACTACAGTCCTGTGGGCCAAATCCGGTTAAGTGTTTTTATAAATAAAGTTTTATTTAAAGTACAGATTTGTTTACATAATGTCTGGCTGCTCTTGTGCTAAAACGGTAGAGTTGGGTCACTGTGACAGAGGCCATATGGCCCACAAAGCCTAAAATATTCACTATCTGAGCCTTTATAAAAGCTTGTCAGCCTTTGCTCTGCAACTTAAATGAAATAAAATTTTACCCAAAGCAGTTCTTAAACCTTGAGAGCTTAAATACTGCGCAAGGGGCTGGACCACCTCCCCAGGAGCCGGCCGGCCCGTGTTCGGCTTGGCGCTCTCTAACCTTTACTCTGGGGTTCAATTGAGGAGACACCCTCTCATTCAGTTCTGGCTTCCTGCCTCTGATATTTTACAAAAACCTGGAGAATAAAGTGTTTTCTTTTTCACAAAGGTCAAGTTGAAGCAGCTGCAGGGCTGTTACTCTCATGACCCAATGATGAACTGGAGTTAGTTTATGTTTTGGCTTGAATATATGGCCTGGGAAGAAAACCATCATTCCCCACCTTTCCTAATCTCCATGAAAACAAGCAGATCAGAGTTTAGAGGGCCAAGAAAGTACAACCCAAGGAGGGGCATCTGGAGACCCCCTGCCCTGGCACAGGTAGGGTGTGCACTGGGCACATTAGCCAAATGCAAGCAGATCCTGGGGGCTGCTCACTGCCTCGGCCACAGGGCCCCTGCCAAGCCCCGGCTCCACCTCACCGGGGCCCGGGACACCCCAGATGGAGGGGCAACAACTGGGATCATAGGCACTCTGAGCACCCATCATGGCAGCCACTAGCTGCATGGGGCTATATTAACTAAAATGAAGCAGAACTGAACATTCAGTCCCTTGGTCACACCAGGTACATCTCAAGTGCTCAGCAGCCCCACCTGGCTAGTGGTCACCATACTGGACAGCGCAGATATAGGACATCCCCATCACTGCGGAAATTCTACCAGACAGCATTACTAAAGGCAGGCATTGTCAGTCAACAAACGTGTTCTGAGCACCTGTTGCATTAGAGGTGTGTGATGTGGGTATTTCTCATCAGGTTCACTGTTGTAAATTAGTTCAACACCTGACTGCTCCCTGCTACCTGCAGAGTACTAATTACTCTCCCCTGGCATAATTACTTTCCCAAACTGAATAAGCCTCATGTGGAGGCCAAGGGGACAGGGTGGTCCCCACACAAGGCTTATTCAACTTGGGAAAGTAATTTCTTGTTTTATTTTTGGTTCACTTGTTTGCTTTATTTCCCCCTTTTTATTTCAACACACTTTGGCTACTAATTATTAATTCCTCTCCACTTCCTCCCAGGGAGAGCAGCGCTGGGCAGAGGAGTCAGAGAACAGGCATTACCTGCCTAGAACTGCCCCCTCCTGTGCTCCTGGGAGGAACATTAGAACCCAGGACCCCAGGACCCCAGCAGTCAGGGTCTGAAGGTGGAGAGAGCAGGGTCTTTCTGATTTGGAGAGTGAAAAGCCCCAGCTCTCCCTTCCCCTGGGCTGAGTGCCCTGAGGTTTCAGAAGCTTGCTCAGCCTCCTGCCTGGCCCAAAGGGCTACCCAAAGCCCCAGGCATGTCCTGGCCTGCTGCTCCCCACCCCCAACACGAAGCGTCATCGGTTGCAATGGCAGCAGCAGAGTGACACCCCCGCACCACCCCCGCACGAGCAGACCTGTGGGCAGACGAGGCTGCAGGGCACACAGGGGTGCTGAGCCTGCTTGGACAGGGGCCCAGAGGGAGTGAGCCCTTGGGGACCTTCATGCCCCAGGCGGCAGCTGCCTTTCGCGGGGAGGACAAGTCCGGGGGGCCTTGTCTGAAGTAAAGGAAGGATGGGGAGTTTCCTTTCCAGCAGAGCCCTGGAGACCAGGGTGCTGCCCTGCGGCCAGGCCAGACAGAGCCAGCTGAACGGAGAAGCCCGGCCGTCTGACCCTGGGTCGGGCCCACCATCTCCTGTGTTCACCGGGTCGGCTGTCACATGGAGCCACCTCCCCTCTCCCCCTCTACTCCTGGCTACTGGAGGTGACCGGGAGGTCTCTGGTCATACCCTTTCCGCCCTAAATTAGAGGGGATATGTGAGCATGGGACCCGTGCTGCCATGACTGCCCACCCAAGGGTGGGCCACAGCCACGGGGTTCTATACAGATGTTCAAACAGCCAAGCCAAGGGACAGGGGCAGGGGTCTCCACACCCCGCCCCTAGGCCTTGGAGTCCAGTCCTGCCCCAGGGCCCCGCCCCAGTCCCCACTCCGGCTCTGACAGCCGTGGCCCCGGGGAGCTGGGACCCACGGAAGGCCTGGAGCCGAGTGAGCCAGGGCCGAGGCGCCCTGGGGGCCGGGAGGGAGGACTCAAGCCTGACCTGAAACGCTGGGCTTGGGTCAGGGGAAATAAGAGCGGCCACACCGACGGACTCAGAAGCCCTTGTTGGGAAGTAACCCGGGTTGGACACACTGATGTCAATTTGGCAGACAATTTGGAACATCAAAGCGGAGAGGGGCTCGCAGGCGGCTAACCGGGGGCAAACGGGGTGGCGTGGCGGCGCGCACGGATGCGGGCGGCCGGCGGGCCCGACGGGGATGCGCGGCGGGCTCACCTCGGCCCAGGGGCAGGGCGGCGGGAGGGGGCCCGCTGCTGCGCCGCCGCTCGCCCAGGCAGCGCTGCAGCTCCTGCAGCCGCAGCTCCTCCTGCAGCACCGCTCGCTTCCGCTGGCGCCGGGCCTGCCGGCCGATGTTCTCCTCGCGGCACAGCCTCCGGGCCGCCTCTGCGATCTGCAGCTGCAGGGCCAGCTCGCGCTCCAGGCCGCCCAGGGGGTCCTGCCGCGGGGCGGCGGGGTGAGCGGCGGGCCCCGGCACCGGGAAGCGCCTCGGCCCCAAGCCCGCGGCGGAGGCGGTGCGGGGAGCGCCCCGGGAGCCCGTCGCCGGAGGGAGGCAAGCGGACCCGCCCGCCCGTCCGAGGAGCCCGGCAGGGCGGGAGCCGAGCGGGACACGTCCGCGCCCGAGCCCACAGGGCTGCGCAGGCGAGCCCGGGAAGCGTGCCGCCTTCCGCTCCACGGGGAAGGGACCCGGCGCTCCGGAGGCGGGGGGACAGCCGGGGGCCGGAGTAACCTGTCTGAGCAGGCCGGTGCCTCTCCGGGCCGGCGGCCGAGCAATGCACTGATCTTCTGCCCACTGAGGACAGGCAAGGCCAAGCCCGGCGTCCTCCCTCGAGCTCCCGGGTCCCAGTGGCACGCCTTTCCGGGTGTCCCTTGCCCACGCCAGCCGAGCCCTCTTCCCGGGCGTGGCGGAGGCCCTGGGCCTTGGCAGCCCTCCCTCCGGGGGCGGGGCCTCGCCGGGCCTCTGGGGAGTGAGGGAGGCTTCCCGCCGCACTCACCTCCGGGTGCAAGGCCCGCTCGTCCAGTCTGTAGGCGGCGCCGACCCTGCGGCGGACCTTGGGGGCCTTCTCCCCTGGCCTGAGGGGGTACTCCTCCGGCAAGGCACCCGTCAGCTCCTGCATGGAGGCGAGGTCAGGCAGGCCCCCGTCCACCGCTCAGCGGCCTGACCCAGGCCCCTGCCCACCCCGTCGGACCACCACCCAGGGGTGCCTCACAGCACCTGTGGCGCACGGGCAGCAGGCCGTCCTCTTTCCCCTCAAACCTCCTGCTCACCTCCTGCAGGCCCCTGTTGACCCTGGTCCCGATCCCCACCCCCAGCAGCTCAGCCCCCCTGCAGCCCCTTACCCTGTACCCACTTCACACCCCAGGTCTACCTCGCCCTCTCCCTGAGGTCAAACGCTGCACACACAGGGACTCTGAGCACCAAATCCCAGTCTGATTTCCAGAATTCTCCCAGGAGCCAAGTGCCCCTCAGCACCAACACCCCAAAATGTGGCTCCAAGTGAACCCCAAGTCTGCATGGCTCTCACCGCCTCCCTCAGGCAGAGTCTCCGCAGCTCCTCCAGGCAGGCCTCCAGCCGCTCTTCCAGGGCCCTCTGCTGCTTGCGCACAGCATGCGTCAGCTCCTTCACCGGGGACACCGGGCTGTCGGGGCCTGGGGAGCAGCAGGGAGCTCTCTCAGGGGAGCAGAGCCTTCTCGCAGGATCTCGGGGACCACCCCCAGCGGAGCGCGCCCTCACGCTCTCGCACACACGCACACTGCCTCGTGCCTGCCCGGACTGCAGGCCAGCTGCTGTGGCCGGTGTGGGGACCACGAACACCACACCTCCCCGCTGCCACGGAGGCACCAGCGCAGCGCAGTCGGGGACAGGCCCACGAGTGACTGTGCTGGGCGGAAGGCGGGGACAACTCCTCCTTTCCAAGCACCCCTCTGCCCTCGGCCATCAGCTTCTCCCCACTACGTTCTCCTCCTCCCTGTCATGCGCGCACACGTGCCTTTTCTCTTGTTCTGCATCAGGAAGAGGCCAGNGGGGACAGTACCACCGACCTCGTGCTTTGACGTATTGCTCTAGTTTTTTTACTTTAAGTTCTTATTGGCCCTACTATATAGTAAGATAGGTACCTTACTATCCCCATTTTACAGGGGGAGTAACAGCCTCAGAGGAGTTAATTAACCTGCCCAATCAGACTGCTCGTGAGTAGCTGGGCTGAGGTGTGAACGGGAAGTCTAACCTAGGGTCTGTACACTTAACCTCGGTGACGGAGGTAGTGGGCGCACAGGCAATCGCGGGCAGGCAACCACATTTCCAGGCTCTCCCTTCGTCCTGGGCCCTCAAGTCGGGAAATGGGGCGGGTTAATTTGGACACTGGATTTCGGATTACGGCTAGAGACTCATCCGCTTTGTGGATTATCGGCGGAGCCAGGAGGGGCCGCACCGGCTGCCTTGGAGGACAGTGTCCACCGGGTGTGCGGGCCCCCTGCTCCCGAGCTGGCAGGGCAGGCCGCATTCAGCAGCGCCGTCCACGGCGGAGGGGACCCGCCAGGCCTGCAGCCCCCGGCCGCTGGGGCCCTGCTGAGCCTCGGGGGGCCTACCTGCGCGCGGGGAGCCAGGGCGCGGCCGCAGCTCTCCCTCCCGGGCGGCAGGCTCCGCACGCGGAAGGCGCCGTGGCGGTCCAGCGAGTGCGGGCGGGCGCTGCGGAGGCGGGCGCGCTCGTGCCAGGACTTGAGCTCCTCGGAGACGGCGGCCCTGCTGAGCGCGCGGCCGCCCGGGCCGTCCTTCAGGGAGGGCGTCCGTGCCAGGCGGCCGGCGGGGGGCGCCCGCCGGGGCAGCAGCAGCGCCGCGCCCTCGGCCTCCAGGGCGGTGCCCAGCACCGCGGGGCTCAGCCCCCACTCGGGCGCCGCAAAGCCGGCGTGCAGCAGCAGCCGGGGGCCCCGCGCCGTCGCCTCCCTGCAGGCCCCGCGGGG